GGGAGCGTGCAAGCATGGAGCTGCACGCATAACGTTTACATTTTCTATTTCATTGGGTCATTTTTATTATCGAAGGTTTACGATATACATAGAAAGAGTCAAATTAATTCTACAATTCTATATTTGTGATATACTCCACATATATTATTTACCTTTGAATATAAAACTGACTCAATGAAATCGGAAATGAAACATTTTATTGTTTTTTATCCAGAAAAAAACGCAGCTCCCTGGTTTACTTGTAGTCTTGCCCGGAAAACGTTGCAACGGTCACGTATCGCAGCAACAGGCTAAAGCGGCGGCCTAGCAGTGTCTACGTATTATATCTCTATGGTTTACTATGCTAGTAAATAGGTTAGCTAGCTAGCTAGTTAGCGCTTGGACTGAGAGAACTATGGAGCAGGGTTGTAAACAAACAAAAATGCTGATGCTGTGTTTATTTACACCAAAATATCTGATGGTGCGATACAGAATCTGCCCGTAACAGCTACAGCGTCACTGACTTTTCTATGATGATGTTCAGGCCCTGGCACTTAACGAACTGTGATTCCAGTGTCAATGCAAGTACAGAAATGTAGCACTTCCTTTGAAAAAAACATTGCCTCTGAACATAATCCAGGCATTTAAATAGATAGATATTAATTATGTTGCCATCACAACATAATTTAGTAGTAGAGACAGTGGCACCAGCTCTCGCTTAAATTGAGAAATCAAATCAAAAAGGACATCAAAGTTGTCTGAAGTTTGATCTGAAGGAAAAACTTCTACTTATATTCACTGCAAACAAGTCAGTTGCTGACCCCGTGCCCCCATGAAGACATGACCAGACGTTTGACATTAAAATCTGATTTCCCTTAGTTGGATGTTGTCTTTTTTTTATTCTCTGGTTGATCCGAGTGCAATTACGCCCCCCAGTTTCCCTAGCAACTGTCTATGCACCGGAATAACCTGGACGAGTTGATGTTGCTTACTTAATGGACCCCGGTGCCAAAAAGCCACCCTTTGATAGTGATGGGAAGAAGTGAATGCATGCCGGTATCTCTATTAAAGTGAATGAGTAATGATTCACCCTCATGCATGAATCATACATCAGTAATAGGTTAATGATCCCTGCAGATACAGAAAAATAGAAAAGCATGGCAAAAATAGCATATTGTCAATATTTTAGAGATTTTAGACCTCATATCATGTCAAGAGGAGCCAAGCTGTCCCTGTTAGTTTCTCTATATACACATATAACCCACCTCTGTGCAGGAGGGTTTACCCTATGCCTACCTAAGAATAACCACAGATATGTATCAGTGCACATGTTGCAGAGTAAATGCTACAGCCTGTCAGGGCACAGAGACATTTATCAGCATTCAAAGCAGCGTCTCCACTCAGGTAGCAGTCCAACAGCACCAAGTCTGGGGAGAAGTTCTGCCTGAAGACAAAA